CTGCATGTATTCAGATGTAGTTATTTTGTTTTTCTTTTGGTTTGTTTATATAGAGAAATACATTGATAGTTTTTTTTTGTTTTTTTGTTTTTTGAGACAGAGTTTCACTCTCTTGCCCAGGCTAGGGTGCCATGGTGTCAGGCTAGCTCACAGCAACCTCAAACTCCTGGGCTGAAGTGATCCTCCTACTTCAGCCTCCTGAGTAGCTGGGACTACAGGCATGAGCCACCATGCCCAGCTAATTTTTTCTATTTTTAGTTGTTTTGGCTAATTTCTTTCTATTTATAGTAGAGACGGGGTCTCACTCTTTCTCAGGCTGGTCTCAAACTCCTGAGTTAAAGCAATCCTCCCACCTCAGCCTCCCAGAGTGCTAGGATTCTAAGCATGAGCCACCGCACCCAGCCCACTGATAGATTTTTTCAGTATTAAACCAACATTACATATCTATTATCTATTTAGAATTTTTACATCTATATTCATGTGGGACATTAAGCTATAGTTTTCTTATAATATCTAATATAATATCTTTCTTATTATATCTTATAATATCTTATAATATCTTTCTTATAATATCTTTATCTGGTTTTAGTCTGAATAATAGTGGCCTCAAAATTGCTGGAAAGTATTTTTCTCATCTTCAATTTTTTAGGAAGAGATTGTGTAGGATTAATATTTCTTCCTTAACTGTCTGGTAGAATTTATGAGTGAAGCCATCTGGACTTTGTATTTTATTTATAGGAACATGTTTAACTACAAATTCCATTTCTTTACAGATATAGGGCTATTCATTTTGTCTATGTCTTTTTTTTTTTTTCTTGATACAGAGTCTTACTTCTATTGCCTGGCTAGAGTGCCGTGGCGTCAGCCTAGCTCACAGCAACCTCAAACTCCTGGTACAGGAGTTTGAGGAGTTGAGGATCACTCAAGCAATCCTCCTGCCTCAGCTTCCTGAGTAGCTGGGACTACAGGCATGTGCCACCATGCCCGGCTAATTTATATATATATAATTTTTTTTTCTTTTTAGTTAGCCAATTAATTTCTTTCTATTTATAGTAGAGGTGGGGTCTCGCTCTTGCTCAGGTTCGTCTCAAACTCCTGACCTTGAGCAATCCACCTGCCTGGGCCTCCCAGAGTGCTAGGATTACAGGCATGAGCCACCGCACCCCACCTGTCTATGTTTTTTTGAGTGAGCTTTGGCAATTTGTGTCATGAAAGGAATTGTTTCATTTCACCTAAGCAATCAAATTTTTTGGCATAAAATTATTCATAACTCCATTATTATCATTTTAATATTTGTAGAATCTGTAGTGATGCCACTTATATCATTTCTGACATTGGCAACTTGTTTCTTCATTCTTGTTTTTCCTGATAGGACTCATCATTTATATTGATCTTCCCAAAGAATTGGCTTTGGTTTCCTCGACTGTCTCTAATTTTTTGTTTTCTACTTCATTGATTTCTGCTGTAGGGACCAAGGGACAACTTTCCTTTTTTCTTCTGAAGGTTTGCTGAAAATCAGCTGACAAGAGGCAGAATAATGGGAGAAAAGTATACAAATTTATTAATAAGCACGAGAGTCATACAAAATATAAGGACTCAAATGGCCAGATGAGTTGGTGATTTTATACCATCTTGAGGTTACACCAAGAATGGGAGCTCCATGCTCACTTTGGCAGCACATATACTAAAATTGGAACGATACAGAGAAAATTAGAATTCTTTAATAAAAAAAAAAGAATGGGCGCTCAAAACAGCATGGCTGAGCAGGTTATGGTGGCCAACAGGTACAACTCTTCCCCACAAGGGACAGCATTATGGGCTACTTATGTTTGTAAGTCCTCTGAACAGCCATTTCAAAATATGTCAAAGAAATATATTTTGGGATGAAATATTTTAGTTTCCTTCCCTGTTCTGATCTTTATTATTTCCTTTCTTTTGCTTACTTTGGGTTTCATTGGCTCTTTCTCTGTGTGTGGTGTTTTTTTTTTAAAGATGGAAGCTGAGACTGTTGATTTGTGACCATTTTTTTAAAAGATCTTTCTTCTTTCCTAGCATAGATGTTTAGTGCTATGATTTTCTTCTTAAGTACTATTTAAGTGGCACTCCATAAAATTTATTATGTTGTTTCCTTTTGTTTTTCTTTTTTTTTTTTTTTAGTTCAAACTACTTTCTAATTTTCCTTTTGATTTCTTTTATTATGGTGATTTAGTTTCCATATATTTGGAGATTTTCCAGGGATCTTTCTGTTATTAATTTCCATTTTAATTTCATCGTGGTCAGACAACATACCGTAATCCATTTGGGTGGTTCTCTTCCTGACCTTAGGTATTTCCTCACATGCATGTGCGATCAGTACTTGGCTGAAACTGTCTGGATTTCTCACTGTGTATAGACAGCAATCTCTTCTCTGGTCCTCTCTCCTGCAAGCTCAGTATGTTGTCCTTCTCAGATGCTTATCTTTATCATCTCAGCTCAGGAAATCTGCTAGACTCTGCCAGATTCCCCCTCCTCTCCACAGCGTGAAAACTCCTTCAAAGCGGTAATCTAGGGCAATCATAGGGCTCACCTATTTTTTTCCCCAACTTCTCGTATGTCCCTGTTCTTCATTGTCTGATCTCCCTGTGTCTTAAAAATCTGTCATTTCATATATTTTGTCCTCTTTTATGTTCATTTCAAGCAGAAGGGTAAATCTTGTTCCAGCTTGGCCAGAAACAGAAGTCCCTGGGGGAAGTAGCATCTTGATCCTCCTCTTGAAACTTTCCCTCATGCTTAGGGCCTAATGATCACAAATGGCTGCTGTATCACTAAGCATTATATGTACATTTAATGCAAGATGTAATGCTAGTCATACCTGTCCATTTATTATAAATGTAAAGTATTTTCCAAAAAGTTCCCCAGGAAACTTACCCTTATATCTCATTGGCCATGATGAGGCCACTTGGCCATCTGTATCTATGAAGGAGTCTGGGAAAGTAGAAAATAGTGTTGTCATGACTGGTTTATTTGTATGATTTGTCATTGACATATTGCCATCCCACATGAACTGGAGAAGGAAGGGGTGGGGAATATAAGATATTGGATAGAAACTAACAGGGACTGCAACTGAGGCAACCAACACGGTCCTCTTCAGAAAGTAAGAGCAGCTTATCTCCCCCCCACACCCCGGGCCCCTTCCCCCTGCATATGATCCAGCGGACTTCTCTGTCAATTGGCTGCTTTCCACCCTTTCCATGTCTGATAAGAGTTCCTGTGTCCTGAGGGCTAGGGAGAACATGCTAACACCCTCTAAGGACTACTTCTCACTTCAGGGAGGTCTTTTTTATTTTTTATTTATTTATTTATTTATTTATTTATTTATTTTATTTGAGACAGAGTCTTGCTTTGTTGCCCAGGCTAGAGTGAGTGCCGTGGCGTCAGCCTAGCTCACAGCAACCTCAAACTCCTGGCTCAAGTGATCCTCCTGCCTCAGCCTCCCAAGTAGCTGGGACTACAGGCATGCGCCACCATGCCCGGCTAATTTTTTCCATATATATTAGTTGGCCAATTAATTTATTTCTATTTATAGTAGAGACGGGGTCTCGCTCAGGCTGGTTTGAACTCCTGACCTTGAGCAATCCACCAGCCTCGGCCTCCCAGAGTGCTAGGATTACAGGAGTGAGCCACCACACCCGGCCAGGGAGGTCTTTGAAACTCTAAAATATTAAACCAAGGAGAAATCATCAATTAAATTACTAATTGTTTAAGCCTCTGTATTCAGATTAGCTGTCCTTTGCTTCTAACTAAAGTGAAAATAATCCTAGCTCTTGGGAGGCTGAGGCGGGCGGATTGCTCAAGGTCAGGAGTTCAAAACCAGCCTGAGCAAGAGCGAGACCCCGTCTCTACTATAAATAGAAAGAAATTAATTGGCCAACTGATATATATATAAAAAATTAGCCGGGCATGGTGGCGCATGCCTGTAGTCCCAGCTACTCGGGAGGCTGAGGCAGGAGGATCACTGGAGCCCAGGAGTTTGAGGTCTGTGAGCTAGCTGACGCACGGCACTCACTCTAGCCTGGACAACAAAGCGAGACTCTGTCTCAAAAAATAAAAAAAAATAAAAAAAATAAAAAATAAAAAAAAAATAAAGTGAAAATAGCAAGTGGTTATATCATCCAAGTGAGATCTACGTCACTAACTTTAAAGATCAACCCAGTACATGTCTTCAAGCATATCTAAGGATCCATTGTCGTATTTATTCTGCTTGGTTCATTCAGAGATGATTGGAGAGAATAAATATCTAGTTAGTTTCTAGCATTCTTTCTAGCAGTCATGGCATAGCGGTGTGAAGTTTGAAGCCAATTGACGGAAAAGTTCACAAGGCTGCTAGCCCAACTTCTAGGCCAAGAAGGCATTTTCTTTGGCCAGGGCGGCATCTTTCTGTGCAAACGGTTGGTGGTTCAAGTTTGGGTCACTGGCAGAGCCTCAAGGCATTTAGGTGTTAACTTTATAGAAGAGGAAAAAGCAACTATTTTTATACCAACATTTTAGGTCCTAAGATTAACTTTGGAGATGTCAGGGAAAAGGGAAAGTAGTTCTTATATTTACATAGGAAAGACAAACCTGACCTACTTCTCAATTTAGTCAGGTAAAAATACATTAAGTGGAGAGCCAAATATTTTCTCTTTCCTGACTATTTTAGACTAATTCTCCATGGGACTTTATATCTTGAAACAATTGGACATATTATCAGAAGAATTTACTGCTTAGGCAAACATGGCTTGAGAAAGACTTTACGGTCTACAGTGTCCTAAGGCTTGAGTGGTTAAAGGGTCTGAAGATGGGTTGGCTGTGGAAGAGGATTAGGGGAGAGAGGACTAGCTTGGAACATAGTAACTGCTAGAGGAGAGGAAGGATGAGATCAGAGGAGAACTGACAAGAACTCCATTCATCATTTCTTCTTATGTTGGTAAGGATGGGTTAAATTATGCTGCAATAACAAACAACCCCCAAATCTCAGAGGCTTAACATAACAAAAATGTATTTCTCTCTCACGAAATTTCTTTTGTGTGTCAAGGCAGCTCTCTTGGGTAGTTGTCCTCTGTGTGGTGACTGAGTTATCCAGGCTGCTTCAATCCTTTGGGTCTTCCATGTTAGCATAAGGACTTCTCTGATAGCCTAAGTGGAGGAAGAAAAGCCTGGAGAATCACACTGTCTCAGCCTGGAAATGATGCCTGTCATTCCATTGGCTGTGAAAACTAGTCACATGGCTCTGTATAACTGCAAGGGGACTGAGAATTACAGTCTTCCCTATGCCTAGCACAGAGGAGCAAAGGACTAAGTGTTGATGAATATACTGATAGAGAACATACTACTCTAATTCATAAGACTTCTCTTAGGGAAGGATTCTGTGCTAGGTTGTACCTGGGTTTAGAATCTCTTTCCAGAGGGATTCAGGGGAAATCTTATGGTTGAAAGAGGTGCTAAGACTTATTTTGAAGCTGCATTTACATAGCAAGAAATAAGCATTTATATAGATTGAATGTTTATTTCAGGCAGATTTGGGGGATGCTGGCAGAGGAGCAAAATCTTCCAATCTCACTTCCCTCCTCTCCCTTGCCTTGGCACTTACAGTGCCAGAGCTTCTTTATAAGTGCTGTATGTGTGACACAGTGAGCACATGCACATTTGGTACCAGTCAAAACCCCAACAGGCAGGCCACCAATGGGCTACCAGTGGCAGGGAGGCCTGGGAAATAGTGGAAGGCACTCATGAAACCCTGGCTCTCCACAGCGTGGTACCTCAGTCTGCCCTGGTATCTTGTTCCAACTCTGTTTCCTATAAACATCAGCCGTTCTCACACCTTGCATCACACTTATGTGTCTTCTCAGAAAAGGCAACCGGAAAAGCAAAATCAATAAATTAGATTATTGCCGCGACTCTTGGAGCTCATCTCCTATTAGAAGTGAGACTGTGCGCTGTGTCTGAAAGCACAGGAGAGAGAAGAAGAGTAAGTACGTACGCAGTTTTCTCAGTGGAAATATGACTGCTAAGCACTCACCCCAATCAATGAGCCGGGAGGAGGGCAGACAGGAAGAGGTGCAGTCGATGATTCACATCCCCTCCATGCTGGGGGCTCTGATTATCTAGAAGTCACATCATGCAAGGCCCAGGGAGAGGGAGAGTGCTACCATCTGAAACAGCCACACTGGCCCTTCAGCGGGCATGACAGCTATATTTGTGTCTGCCACAAACGGTAGCCAGAAGCTGGCCTCGTGCTTTGTGTCTTCTCGAGGCTCAGTCTCCCTTGCACACCAAACTATGCTATTTTACACATCTGCCTAATGGAAATCAACAGCAAATAGATTGGTCCTCAGTGTTCCCTATGCTAGTCCCCAGACAAGCAGATCTTCCCTCCCCGTCTCTGCTAACTCACCCAAGACAGCCTTCTCTGGCTATGATGAGTCTTGATAATGCCTCTTTAAACCATCCTGTCTTAGTTTTATTCCCTTAGCTGATTCTCTGCTGTTCTGAAAACTATTCCGGCAGGTAGATAATAATTAACAAGTTTTCTGTCTTGTCAATTAATTATTCAAGTGAATTAATTATAATTCTTTAAATGTACTGATCCAGCCATTTATCTCTGTCCCCCACCCCCCCACCAATTCAATAAATTTTTTTAAACAAAATACTGTATGGAAAGTGTAATGTTGGAGGCATAGAAGATTTGGGGACCAAGGGGTGGTAAAAAAGAGCTAGCAAAGGCACCCAAGAGTTTCTGGGAAGGACACCAACAGTGACCACTCCAGGAGGTGACATTTAAGCTGAGATTGGAATGACAAGAAAAGTCTGGTCATGCCAAGTTCAGAGGGAGAGTGGGTGCGGCAAGTGAGCTGGAAGGCAGGGGAGGGTGAGCTTGGCACTGGGACAAGGGATGGTCACTGGGCCTGTGCCATGTGGGGCGGAACAGAGAGAGTGGTTGACAGAAACCAGATCATGCAGAACTTTGTCAGCCAGGAGGGCTTTTCAGAGGACACTGGTGGTTTTAAGCAGGTGCACATGAATGAATTCTGGGTTTTTCTTACATGGGCCCATCTTTGCCTACAATTGTGTTCCATGTATAGTGTGATACTATCGTCAAACAGAAATTCGGGGAGGCTGTTGTTTTCGACTGAGCTCCTGCACTAGGCCCCACCAGACCAGACCAAACCAAACCAGAATAGAGTCACTTAATACTAAGCACCACATAATGAAACTGAGACTTTCAAGAAACAGATCCCCAAACAGATCAGTTTTTCCTGAAAACAGGAGATCCCAGTCTACCTGAGTCAGTATAATAAGGACAACCCCTCTGCTTTGACCCCTACCAAAAAAGTAACCTGCAGTAACCTGACTTTGGCCAATCAGCTTTTTTTCTTGTTCTGTTTTCTTTTCCCCACCTCATAAAACTCACTGTTCTGACATTGCCCGGGGGGAGCTCTCATGCTCTTTTGTAGAATGAAGCCTTCCTTATTTCGTGAGTCACGAGTAAGAGCCAGTTAGATCTATAAATAAACTTGTTGTCATTTTGACACTCGTTTTTCCATCTAAGATCATAATATAAAGTCTCCTTTTTCAAGTCAATGTATTTAAGCAAACAGAGTTAGGCCTTATAAAACTTTTGCGTAAATAAGACTCAATATCGAGTAAATAATATAGCTAAAACTGTAAAGGTTGAAACACTGCCCTTAGGCAGAGAAAAATGGAATCATCTGTCTGGATCCAAAATTGCTTAGGAGACCACATGGCCAGTACCTTGCAAGTATTTGAGAGGCAGCAGGCTAGCGGAAAATGCAGAGAGAGTACTACCCCACGAGGTTCTAAAACTGTGGTCCCCAAACCCCAGGCCTCGGACCAGTACTAGTCCATGGCCTGTTAGGAACTGGGCTGCAGGAGGTGAGCAGAGGGCAAGCAAATGAAGATTCATCTGTATTCACAGCCACTCCCCGTCACTCACATCCCCAGGTAAGCTCCGCCTCCTGTCAGATCAGCAGCAGCATTAGATTCTCGTAGGAGTGTGAACCCTGCTGTAAACTGTGCATGCGAGGGATCTAGGTTGCAGGCTCCTTATGAGAATCTACTGCCTGATGAGCTGAGGTGGAGCTGAGGCGGTGATGCTAGCGCTGGGGAGCAGCTGCAAATACGGATTATCATTAGCAGAGATTATTTATTTATTTATTTATTTGAGGCAGAGTCTCAGTCTGTTGCCCAGGGTAGAGTGCTGTGGCGTCAGCCTAGCTCACAGCAACCTCCAACTCCTGGGCTCAAGTGATCCTCCTGCCTCTCAGCCTCCCAAGTAGCTGGGACTACAGGCATGTACCACCATGCCCGGCTAATTTTTCCTATATAGATTTTTAGCTGTCCAAGTAATTTCTTTCTATTTTAGTAGAATAGCAGAGATGTTGACTGCACAATAAATGTAATGTGCTTGACTCATCCTGAAACCATCCACCAAGCACCCGCTCCTCCGTGTGCACAGAAAAATGGTCTTCCATGCAACCGGTCCCTAGTGCCAAAAAGCCTGGGTACCACTATTTTAAAAGACCCAAAGTGTTAACACAGAATAGTCCTTACCTCCTGGATCACCTGACTGGCCATCAGAAAGCATCAAGGCTTCCTGATACCTTACACACACACCATTCAGAATGCTGCCCATTGCCTCTTTGTGACACTGTACTTTAATTTACCTTTCAAGTTGCTCTTGATAATTATTTTAAACAGATTTCCCCAGAAGAAAATATTAAGGGACAGGGAGAAGGGGACTCCCAGTGTAATTTCTCCTATGCATTATGCCCTGTTAAGAATAGCCTTACAATTACAGAACCATAACTCTGACAATTTAATATCCATGGACACAGAAATAACATGACAAGAATTATATTTTGAATAAAATGCCAAGTTTTCTTGATTCTAAGATCTATTTTAAAATCTACATTGCTGGAAATGTCTGCATTCCTAAAATCAGATTGTGGTCTCACAATTGATGTTAAAAAGAAAAACAATCCTACTAAGATATACAAAAACCTGCTTTTATTTTTTGAGACACAGTCTCACTTTGTTGCCCAGGCTAGAGTGAGTGCCCTAGCGTCAGCCTAGCTCACAGCAACCTCAAACTCCTGGGCTCAAGCAATCCTGCTGCCTCAGCCTCCCGAGTAGCTGGGGCTACAGGCACGCACCACCATGCCCGGCTAATTTTTTTTCTATATATATTAGTTGGCCAATTAATTTCTTTCTATTTATAGTAGAGACAAAGTCTCACTGGGACTGGTTTTGAACTCCTGACCTAGAGCAATCCACCCGCCAGAGTACTAGGATTACAGGCTTGAGCCACCGCGCCCGGCCCTATTTATTTTAATTTTAAAAAATGTAGGGAGTACAGTGTTTTTTGTTACATGGATGAATTATGCCATGCTGAAGTCATGGCTTTCAGTGTATCTGTTACCAGAATAGTACACATTGTACCCAATAGGTGGATTTTATCCCTCACTCCCCTCTTAACCTCCCCCTTTCTTAGTTTTCAGTGTCCATTACACAACTTTATGACCATATATATCCCTCATTTAGGTCCCACTGTTTTTCCAGAAATATTCTATTGTGTCCAAGAAATAGGGACAGGAAAAAGAACTTTCCTTAAATACAGTGACATAGGATTAAACATTAACCATTGATAGTACTGGTAACAAACATGCAGAAGCACAAGAACAGGTTAAACATATCAGGGAGTCAGTGTGCTGTGAAACAAAAAGTAATTCAAAAGAGTAATCTTTAGACTGAATGTGAAAAATATTTAAACTCAAACTTTGATTATGGTACCAAAGGAAAAAGTAGTGAATGAGTGCATGTGTGCGTGTGTGTATAAAATTAACATTTAGTAAAGGAAGAGGGTTCATTTAATATAGTTTTCTTTTTTCTCAAAAAGTTGTTAAGAAGCCAATAATGTATCTTCAATTGATAGAGTCTCAAGCTAAAAGGACATGGTACTTCTGTCATCAAGGTACTATGTGCCACATACTGGTCCTGGCCCTAAAAATATATAGCCAGTTCTAGGCTTAGATAAGGGAAAAATAAATCAATATAGCCTGAAGAAATTTTGCAGAATATAGAAATATTTACCATACCATTGAGTCAAATCACTGATT